CAAACATAAAAAAAACTAAAAACACTATGTTTCTTTTACCCAAAAAAAAAAAAAAAAAACATTGGTGTGTGAGGTACTGAAGTCCACCTTGTTTTAGGATCGGTCAGTGTTAAGCTGAATAATAAATGCTTATTTTCAAGAGAATGATTGATTGAAGGAAACCCTCCCCACCACCATTTCCTTTAGCTCCATGATGAGTTCAACTAGACCTATCAGTATTTCTTAAAGTAGCAGCAATTCCATTTCCTTTGAGCACTATAACGTTTTTGAGCCTTGGCCCTGTTGATGTTCTCATGCACCTGTGTTTCTCCTGCAATTATCAACAGGAAAGTGGATTCCTTTGTTTTCTTTCCTTTTATCTGGAACACTGAGACTACTACACAGGACCCTCTTTGGCCATAGAGCCTAGACAGGACAATTTAGTTCAGAAAGCCTAGGAAGGAGGGTTTATAACACTCCTTAGATATTTGGTATTCAAATGCAGCCCCTCACCTCTAAGTGGCTTCATTTCATGTTCTGATGCTCTGGGGCAGGCTTCACAAGTGAAGGGTTTCAGTGAAGGAGCTGGGTCTGCCTGCTTCTTGCTAGTGCAGTGGAGCTTGGCTCTCTAGTAGGATCTGCCTGTGTTTCTAGTTTCTTGAGTTCTTCTATTGTAGAATCAAATGAACGAGGGCTTGATACCTACCCTTCCACCTGAGGGAAGTTACATAGTCCTTTAGAGGATAACTTTCCTGGGCTACCAGGTAAAGATGTTCATTGCTCCACTTACAGGACACTAGTGAGCACATGAAGGGTTCTGTGAACTACTCAATGATGGGTGTTTGGAGTGGGTTATTCCTGTGTCCCCTGACATGCCAGGAGGAAGTCTGGGCCAGAGCTGGACAACAGAGCAGGAACTCTGGCTCTGTCACTGTCCACTACATCAGAAGGTTCTCCTCCCAGACTGCAGTTTCTGCTCTATCACAGTTACGGTTCCAGCAGACCCAGGCCCTCTTGGAGTTAACTGTTCTTTAAAGCCTACAAAACATCAACACCGTCACTGTCCACTACATCAGAAGATTCTCCTCCCAGACTGCAGTTTCTGCTCTATCACAGTTACGGTTCCAGCTGACTCCCAGGCCCTCTTGGAGTTAACTGTTCTTTAAAGCCTACAAAACATCAACAGTCTAACCTAGTCATCCCTCTTCCTTACCAGTGATCTTTATCTGCTCTTATAAGTCATACTTCTGCTTAAAATCCACAGTGGCCCCTTATGGCTTTTTAACGGTTATCCAGAGGTCTTCTCATCTTAGCACTGAAAGCCTCCTGTCCTGAGAAAACCCTCAGTTTGTCAATCACACTACAAAGTCCAACAGAGCAAATAACCTGGCTCTAACCACTCACCCCTGTGTATCCAACGTTCTTCTCTGTATTTTGACTACCTGGGGAGCTACTAACTATGCTGGATAGCTTTAGTGTCAGCTTGACACACCTGGGTTGAGAGAGCCTCAATTGGGGAATTGCCTCTATTAGACCGGCCTGTGGCCATGTCTGTGGGGCATCTTCTTGATGAGTGATGTGGGAGGGCCCAGCCCACTGTGGGTGTTACCACCCCTGGGCAGGTGAGCCTGTGTTGTATAAGAAAGCAGGCTGGAGCGGGGGTGGACAGGGGAGCAAGCCAGTAAGCAGCATTCCTCCATGGTCTGTGCTCCAGCTCCTGCCTCCAGGTTCCTGTCCTGAGTTCCTATCTTGGGCTCCCTGATGAACTGTAAGATTTAAGCTAAATAAACTCTTTCCTCCCCAGAGGAATTTGTCAGAGTATTTTGTCACAGCAATGGAGAAACAAACTAGGACACTAACAAAATGCTAAGCCCTGAAAAAATCCTGCCTCTGAAGATTGTGAGGTAGAGACTTGCCTTGGTGTCTTTCTGAATCTGGCCAGTGGTCTAAAGCATGAGGGAGGATGAGAACCGCGGTCGTATTCTTCAGGTCCACAGAGACTCCAGTGCTGCTCCTTGTGCCTGAACTGACCTCCATTTTCCTCCCTCTGCTTGATTTCTGTCCATCCTCCCCTCTTCAGGAGTCTTCTTCCTCCAGGCAGCCTTCCCTGACTCCTCCCAGTAGATTTAGCCCTCCTTTGGGTACCCTGGATCTGCTAACTTTCCTAATCACTCTGTACTGTGATTGTTGGTTTACTCCAATCTCTCTCTCATCACCTTTGAGTTCCTTTCAGGAAGAGATTTTATCTTTTTTTCTCGTACCAGAAGTCAGGCAGGCTCTGGCTGGCACGTTGCATATTCTCAGTAAATATTCGTTGAACAAATTAATGAAGACAAGGCCATCTGACCGCTTGTGAGTTATATTCTGAAAAAGAATCATGGATTCAAACCCCTCGGTGTAAAACAGACGCCGGAACAATCTTACTGCTTTGCAGGTCTACACAAGCAGCAACCTCTCAGCAACTCAAAGGAAATTTGTAGTTTCGCTTTTGTCGCTATTTTTCTCTCTTCCAAGAAAAGAGACATGTTAGGGTAATTCCACTTTCTTGACTTAAGTTTAAATGAAAATGATTTCTCCGATGAAATCATTTCAGCTGTCTGTCCTTTCTGTTTCCCCATTCAGCCCTCAGCTGGCCAGCCTGCGTGTGTTTGGAGAGAGCCAGGAAGGTTCAACGCCAGGAATGTTTCTCTCTCCTGAAAACTCTTTTATCCTCAGGCTTTCTGATCTTCAAAGCAGCCTGTGTCCACTGTGACCCCACTCCCTCTCCTCCCCATGCTGGGGAGTGAGATCTCTGAGTATTTGTGTCATTCTGAAGACTTGCATATTTGGACTGCCTTGGCTGGACAGCTGGGCAGCATGATTCTCACTAACTCTGCAGGGATAAGAGCCTGTCATCATTTCTCTTGCACCCCCATACCTAGACACATGAAGAAATTAATGTCAAACCCCAGAGATAAACAAATATTAGGTATGTAGGTCTCCTTGTATGGAACCCATCCTCTGGAGAGCAAAGCTTCCTCTGTCTTTTTGTACACATTTGAGTCTCAAACTCTTTCCACTGATCTGCAGTGCCTGGTCCTGGATAAGTTTGAAAGCTACTATGATGAAGCTCAACTCACCCAACGAGCCCTGTCTCTCCTGGAGGAAAACAGGCTCTGGGCTGGAGAGGTATTCCCTGACATGTATCCCTGGACTAGCTCACTACCTCCTCACGTGAAGTACAAGATCTGATGGACATAGATGTGGTGGAGAAGACCAATAAGATCAAAGACAGGTGATGACTCAGTCAGGGTTTGCTGGGTTTCCCCCAAATCCACAGCGAATTCCATTGGTAGAAAGCTGGGGATTGAGGGTGGTCTCAGTCTGTAAATCAACAGAGTTAAGCTAAATGAAAGAAAATATGATTTGTGTATCCCAAGTGGACGAAAGCAATCATACTATGACTCATATTCATTGCTGAGAGTTAACACTGTAACCCAAAAAACAGAGCTGGATAGTCTAGAAACGTTTAGGTGAAAGTTTCAAGAGATGGATTTCTAGGATACAGTGAGTTTGTGGATTGGTAGGTTGTCTATCTCCCATTCACATCCTTTCTCCTTCCTGCACCTTCTTAGGTACTGGGATTCTGGTCCAAGGGAAGATCCTGTGGAAGATCTCCGCTACACCTGGGGAGGCTTTGCCTGTCTGCAGGATATGATTGAACAGGGGATCACAAGGAGTCAGGCCCAGGTGGACGTTCCAATTGGAGTCTATCTCCAGCAGATGCCTTACCCTTGCTTCGTGGATGACTCGTAAGTCTCCGCCCCCATCCTCCTCCCTGAGAAGCTGTGAAGCACTAAGATGGGGTGCCCTTAAGGCTTCGGAGTCTCCTGAAATAACCTTGGGGACTGGGACCAAACTGGGAAGAATGGGGGTTCTGACTGAGGAAAGGGTTGGTCCCAAGCTCCAGACAGGAGCAAAGGAGAGAGTGAAGTATCAGGCAGAGAGACGAACTGGTTGGGGAGGGGGTGAAAAAGGGAAGTGGGAGGTCAGAGGAGGGGACAAAGAGTATTTAAATTTTCCACTATGTAGTATGTTTGGTATGTGAAAGGGTTCTGGTCAGAGTATTTGCCCAATGATTGCCAAATCAGCACATTTGGACTGCATGGCAAGTAGGTCTGGTTCCTAGGAGCCTCAGAATAATGCAGCTCCTTCCTTAATTAACATTCCTACAATGTATGCTTGGTTAAAAAGGTAGGAATGTGTTGGATGTGCTCTGGCCTTCTTCCCTGACCACCCCCACCCCAAGTTCTGCCCATCTGTTGGCAAGTAACATGCTAAGCAAGAAACTTATTATTTTGCTGAAAATAGATTTTGTAGAGAAATGGCAGGAGCCATTTGCAGAGAATGGCAGGGGAGGGGCTCAGAATGCTCACTACCATAGGAGATGGGGTTAGAAACACTCCCAAACCTACAGTTGGCTTAGGAATTCAACTCCTTAGGAATTCACTGAGAAAGTCACTATAGCTACTCTGGGGTTCAGGAAGCAGAGAACCACACACAGCCTGAAGAAAGGAAGAGTCAGATTGCCAGCTGGGGAGATTTTAAAATAAAGCCCAGTGTGGACACAGGAAAGCAGCTCTCAACACCCTAGCTCAGTCATTTCTCCAGCCTCAGCTCTACGGAAGACTAAAGAGATAACAGTGGTTTGTGTTCTGCAGTTAGTTTGTGTTTGGATAAGAGGCAGAGATGAGAAGTAAGCCAAAGGCAAAAGCCCAGGTCCACTTTCAGGGTCAAAAGGGGAAAGGCTGACAGGGAATGGATAGGTGTGGGGAGGCAGTGGGAATTGGGGTCATTCAGTATGGGAGAGTCCTCTGGTGGCCAACTGCAGAAGTACATGCTTTTTGATTGTATGGTTCTCTCCCTAGGGCCATTTTGGGTGAAACTACCTTCCCATGCTGGCTTTGGGCCCTTCCTGTGACAACACCCAACAGTTTCAATAGTTAATAATCCCAAGGGCTTTATTAGTACATCATGCACAGGGAAAACCTGTAATGCTTATAATATAATCCCATCCAGTTAAATCTATCCTTTTTGCTGGATAGATCTAGGGATCCACTCCACTTACACAAGGCTAATTGAATCAGTGGCTATTGGGTCTGTTATAATCACAGCTTATATCATCAAGTCTGTAGTCTTTCCCCCCAGAACTGTGCAGAAGTCCCATGCTACAGAAGGACTATACTGTGTGAAGAGATGATGTGATTTTTATCCACACCTTTACTTAATAGAGCATTCACTTGGACTATCTAGAAAGGTACCATCTTGTGCCAAAGAAAAAGTCATTCTTCAGGGCAAATGTGGAATGTATATCAAAGATTCCAGCCTAGTGAAAGTCCTGTGGAGAATTTTCTGATTTCTTTCACTTCCATTTGGACTTGGTTCTCAACTCGTTCATTCAATACACATTTACATTGTCTCTACCAGGTACGGAGGGCTCTGTTCTGCTCCTCTTCTCTCGATTTAGTTTTATGATCATCCTGAACCACTGTTTCCCTATCTTCACGGTGCTGGCATGGATCTACTCGGTCTCCATGACTGTTAAAGGCATCGTCTTGGAAAAGGAACTGAGGCTGAAGGAGACCTTAAGAAATCAGGGTGTCTCCAGTGCAGTGATCTGGTATACCTGGTTCCTGGACAGCTTCTCCATCATGTCAATGAACATCTTCCTTCTGACGATATTCATCGTGGTGAGCCAAGTGGACAAGGCCCAGACATTTAAAAAAATATCTTTATTGTTCTTCCTTCCCTCCTACTAATGAACTAGTACCTGGATTAGTCATCTAGCATGACAGCTAGCTTCCTAGGCCTTTCAGACAGAGTAGAGGGCACTTAGAGAGACAGTCTCCTACCAGAGACAGTGTATCATGACATTTTTCTATTGCACTCTTCCTATCCAAGGAAGTTGCACACCTGTCTACATAGATTTTCCAGCCCATTCTATGATCATGTAGAGAGGCTTCTGTTAGCAAAGCCCTGCACGGTATTGTCATGTGCTCAAATGGGTCCTCTCCTTTCAAACACAGAATCGAGTTCAGAGAGTGCTTTCTGGGATTACCATTCTAATAGCTGACTACAGTTGGAATGTGGAGAGCACTTTCACTGGTATTAGGGGAAGAGATCTGGATAGTTTGTTAATCATTCTCATGACCAGACCATTCCTGGCTTCACCAAGAAACATTCTGCCGCCTGCAAAAGTCTTCAAGAACTCTGTTTTAAAGGATGGAACTTGGAGCCTATCCTTTCTCAGTGATAAGAAATTTTTATAGCTAGAGTACGTCATTCCATCTTCTATAAATCTATCAAAACCAATGCTGAGGTAGAGGTCATTCAATGCAAACAACTTTACCCCATCCAGCCTGGCTTGGTGTTTACAAAGGGTATCAACACTCCACAGCAGTGAGAGGAACAGCTGATCCTCTTATCATCTACCAGGAGCCTTCTGCTCTACCCCACCCCTCAATCTGCTCCTTTATTCAGGAGCAAGATGTTTTGTGCTCTCAGAATTAAAGGAGTTGATGTGTAAACATCTGACTGAATGGCTGTGAGACTGTGCCTGACTTGTTGCTGATAAGTGACACTGAGATCTCCCTTCCTAAGAATGGGTTATAAGGACTTCAAAGTTTTTTAGGACGTGAGGTAAAAAATGTTCACGAAGAGTTTCTAGCACAAAGAAGTTTCTCCTTGTGGGAAACAGAACACTGTTCCAGTAATGACGGAAAGGAAACAGCTTTCCACATCAAACTAAGGTTTTCCTTTGAATGGCTCGCCCATCCTTCGTTTGTCCTTTCCTCCAGGACTCCACTATGCAGGAAAGAATCTGGGAGTGGGGACAATGGGAAGGTTCAATTGCTATTCAGTCTACTAGGAGCAGAAAAGAAAATGGTCGGTGAAGGAAGGCAAGGCCATGGACCAGTAAGCTGACATCCTTGCCTGAAATCGGTGGGAAATTACATCCTAGATGTTTGTAGGACTTTGCTCTGGGATGGGATAAGAAATTGAATTCACTCTGCAGAGAATTCTAGCAACTATCTTTAGATTCTTCCAATCAAAAACATCAGGTTCAGGCATAGATTTGCTTTTTCAGAGTTACCTGTGATTAAGGAAAAGACATGGAGCTTTCCATGGTTATAGGGAACACTTTTTGACACTTAAAATCAGGAACTCTAGGTCCTTATTTTGACCTTTATTTTGATTTCCTCAGACTTCAGTTCTCCCTAAGCATGGCTCCCTTCCATCCCCTTCCCCTTTGTCATTTTTCCCCATCTGTTTTTCAATCTGTCCCTTCAGTGCCCAACAGGCCTGAGAGCATGAACGGGAAACGGTGGCCATATCCAGTAAGAAGCACATTCGTTCCACTCAATTCTCACGGGCTCAAGAAAGGTATTGCTAAGAAGACTCTCTTTTCCATGAGAGGAAACCAGTGCTTTAAAGAATCCCTCTCCATAGATCAGAACCCATTCATGAGATAAGCCAGTTCCAAAGGGTTGTGGAAGAAGGAGAAAAAGGTAGTAAGAAGACCTTGAAAACCTTTGATTTTTGGACTATGGTGTTATATGGCATGTCTTGTCGTTCTCATTACATTTCAAGTCAGTTATGCCCCATTGAGCAGATGGGAGGTGACCAAGTCAGCATGGAGCATAGGACTCTGAAACCTGGGAGATTTCTCAGAATTCTAGAACTTGTACCTTTATGTTTCTGAGAAAAGCAGGAGATCCTCTGTATTTAGAGACACAGAATTTGGGTGGAACAAAAGGCTAAACTCTTCCCGGGATGTTTGTGGGAAGGATGCTTGGAGAATGACAAAGGTCTACTACAGTTGAGCACCTCTGTTTATCCTATAATATAAGTAGGTGGCAGCTTACTTGGAAAAAGTCATTAGTTTGGTTCCATTTTCTACATCGCCAATGGGAAAGATGTTGAATATCATGCATAGGTTCTATGAAAAGAACAGTATTCATGGATGAGGAGAATAAATTAATTTCTAAGAGATCTGAATCCATTACTGATGCTTCCACCTGTGTGAGGAGCAAGCCTCAGAAAACTAGTACAAATGATTGGTAAGCAGGCCAGGCTCCAGGCAAAAGGCCAGACTTGTTCTGAGAGGTTTTCTTCTTCCTCTTTGTTCCAGGGTGCGGAAGACGCCCCAAGCCCTTATGCTCAGGTCTCCCCTTGCTCTGGGCAGACTTCTCTACACTCTCTCCTTCTCACCATGAATTTACTTGCTCCATAATAATTACTGTTAAAAGATAACTTGGGCACATTCGATTTTTTAATTTTTAATGACATTTTTATTCTTTGAAAGTTCCATATATGTATACAATGTATATTGATCATATCCATCCACCACTACCTCCCTCCCTCCACTACCTCCTAAGGCCCCCCACCCTTCTCCATCTTACCTTCATGTCCTCCTTTTATTTATTTATTTTTTGCTAATAACAACTTTCTAAGTAACCCCTGAATCCAGTTAGTGCTGCCCATATTCATGAGTGTGTGGCCATCCACTGGGGCATAAACAACTTACCAGCAGTCAAATCCCCAAAGGACAGTGACTCTCCCTCCCTCAGCAGCCATCAACTAGCAATAGTTCTTCCAGTACCTCAGGGTTTCCTCCCCATACATGCTATGATTTTGACTGGCTTGATCTTGTGCAGGTCTTATGCAGACAACCACAGCTGCCATGAGTTGATGCAACAGCCACGTCATGTCCAGAAGTCAGCATTTCACAGCTCCCCTCCACATCTGCCATCTCTTACATTCTTTCTGCCCCCCCCCCCCGAGTCCATGAAGTCCCCCCAGGCTTGGATGGTGGGAAGTTGATATAGGTGACCCATCTACAACTGAACACTCAAAGTTAGTTATACTTGGCACTTTGGTCAATTATGAGTCTTTACATTAACCACTACCTAAAAGGAAGCTTCTCTGACCAAAGTTAAGAGCAACACAAATCTATGGGTATAAACATAAATATTCAGAATGCAGTTTGACAGATGTTTTTTTTTAGCAGAACAATAGTAGGTTATCCCCTAGGATCTCCCTAGTCACGGCTTTTTTCATCAGGTTTATAACACCAGGCATCAGTGGTTTATGAACCAGGCAATTCTAAACCACAAATGGTTCAGAGCCTCACTAAAGGAGTGGGGAAGCAAGACAAAAAAATACTGATTGGTTAAAGTCCCTACTTAGGGGTTAGTTGGCAATGTATGAATAGTTAAGTTACTTGATAGTTGGGTTTTGGTTTGCTTATTTAGAAACCCAGAACACTGGAGTGACTCAGTCTAATGGTTTCTCAGTTAATTAAAAAAAGATCCTATTGGCTAAAGTGCAGCTTAATGTGTTATCCCCCCCAGGGAAAATGGCATGGGTAAGACGAAAGAACTCAGAGTATTTGATTGTGCATGTGGAAATTTAGGCACTAAGTCGGCAGGTAGAAGAGACCCTTCTAAGGCAATAGGAGAGGGCCCTGGCATCACTGCACACAGGCAGCCCCTGAGGGGCACCAGGCCTCGGGGCATAGAGAGGAATTATTGATACATGATCTCTTTGGTGTCAGCATGGAAGAATCCTACATTACAGTGATCCCTTCATCCTCTTCCTATTCCTGTTGGCCTTTTCCACCGCCACAGTCATGCAGTGTTTCCTGTTTAGCACGTTCTTCTCCAAGGCCAGCCTGGCAGCAGCCTGCAGTGACATCATCTACCTCACCCTCTACCTGCCACACATTCTGTGCTTCGCCTGGCAGGACTGGATGACAGCTGACCTGAAGAGGGCTGTGGTGAGGGGCCTGGAGCTCACCCCTGGCTTATGATAGATATCCTCTGAGGGGTTTGTATCCTGCTCTCTGTGAAGGTCCACTTTCCTTTTGGCTCAAAAGGACATCAGCTCAAAGGTACAGGAGCAAGTGTGGAAGTAGCTTTCCCCTGAGCAGTGCAGCAGTTACTTCTCCCTGATCTACCTTACTAATAATCTGCCCTAGGAAGTCATGGGAAAACCAGTTCAGCTCCACTCCTTTGTTTCTTCTGTACAAGAGAAGAAGAATCTGGCTCATTTCAGGTACCCTTCTTTTCTTCCTATTTGAGAAGAATTAGAAGGGAGGGGAGCTTGCCCCTACTGCCTGTCCAGAAAGATGGCTCCAGTCATTAAAACATCGCTTATTTTTCCAAAAGAACTTGGATCAGAGCAGCTCTAAAAGTGTCTTTCACATGCTCTGCCAGTGTATACAAATAGGATGCAGAAATGAACCCTTCGAGTTAGGCTCTCTGGCCAAGGGAAGACTCCAGAAATGGACTTTCGATGGCCTGAGAGACCTCGTAGTTCAGAATTCCCAAACATGGGTCTTTTTGCTAATTGTTTTCAAATGGGCTGTTTCTACCCTCTCATTAGCCCAGGCTAATCAGTCTCAGCCCTTTAGGGTGCAGTTTTCTAGTCCTTCAGAATCTCCCAGTCTTCCTGCTGGCAAGTCAGCAAGGAATACCATCTGCCTCGCTGGCAGAAGAACCTGTTCTCACTCAACTCATTTGGCTCCCGAGCTGTGAGGGCATCTGCCTTTTATTTCTTGAGTTAAGTAAGAAGTTAATTGCTGTTATTTATAGCACTAGGTTTTCTAAGATGATCACAATGGGTAATAGTACAAAACTCTTGTGACTCAGGCTGTGGGCAGCAGAGCTAGGCATTCTGGTAATCACTGGGTTGTTGCATGGTACTGGAGACCATAGCTAGCTTCTTGGATCTAACAGGAAGCTATAGGTCTAATAATTGTGGATGAGAGTTGGACTGAGATCATTTTAAAGTGTGTGTATGTGTGTGTGTGTGTGTGTGTGTGTGTGTGTGTGTGTCTGTGTCTGTGTCTGTGTATGTGTGTGTTATATGTAGCCAGAAGGTTCTTTCCTTGGGCTGAGACACTCTGAACTCTATACAGGGTCCTCCAAATTACAAGGAAAGTTCTAAGCAAAGGAAAGTGTGCTCTGGTGCGTCAGGGACCACCCATGGGGACTTGGCTGGGAGCTTCTTCTTCAAACTCTCTTCTGCACACCATCCATTTAGTGAACTTGTTTTCTGCACAGAGTGCCTACGATAAGGCCTAACCCCCAGCTTGCCATCGAAACTGATGACTTCTGTACCATTCCCATGAGATTTTCACAAAACCGCTCAATTTGGCATCTTTGTTCTACCTAGAACTGTGTGGTCTGAAAGTGGGAGGAAGAAGGGATGCAGGCAGGAAGGAGAACACGAGAACCTTTGTTCCTTTGAAGTGTTGTACTGTGTGACATTTCTTTATCTTTCCATTACTGTACAACTATGTTCTATTGAATAGGTGAGACATGGCCCAGTAGGTACTGGGCAGGGATCTTTAAGGTCTGACAAGCATTTCCAGAATTCTCTTCCCATAAAAAGATCACCTTGCCAGGCATGGTGGTGCATGCCTTTAGTCCCAGCGCTTAGAGGCAGAGGCAGGTGGATCTCTGTGAGTTCAAGGCCAGCCTGGTCTACATAGTGAGTTCCAGGACAGCTGGGGCTACAGAGAGACCCTGTCTGAAAAAGACCAAAAAAAAAGGTCACCTTAAGCTTTCCCGAGTGGCCTTACACTCACACACAAAGTGAAGTAGCCCTCTGTCCTTCCCTGCCTTGTGGACCTCTGGGCTCTGTTGCTCATCTTCTTGGCCCTCTTTTCTCCATTGCAGAGTCTGCTGGTTCCTGTGGCATTTCGATTTGGCACTGAGTACCTGGTCCGCTTTGAGGAGCAAGGTCTGGGGTTACAGTGGAACAACATTGGGAACAGTCCCGTGGAAAGGACGAGTTCAGTTTCCTGATGTCCATGAAGATGATGCTTCTTGATGCTGCTCTGTATGGCGTGCTTGCCTGGTACCTTGACCAGGTGTTTCCAGCAAAGAAAAGTAAAGCTATCTTTACCACCCCATGGTCAAAGAAATTGAGTTCTTCATATGTCCAGCCTGCCCCAGTCATCTAGTTTAAACTTGATTCGTTCTAAGCTCTTTGAATGTCAGTTTGCAGGGTCAGGATTTAAATTTAAGTCTCAAAGTAAAAAATCCACCACCAAATTCTTGTCATCACTTTAGAATTATGTCTAGAATCAGGGGTAGAGAGATGGCTCAGTGGGAAAGAGCATCTTTTGTGCAAGCATGAGTACATGAGATTGAATCCCCTGCACCCATATAAAAGTCAAGCCTATCTATATGTGTCTGGAACCCCAGTGCTGGGGAGGGCAGATAGGCAGATCCAGGAGCTTACTGGCCAGCCAGCCTAGCTAAAATAATGCACTTCCAATTCAGGGAGAGACACTCAACATCCTTCCCTAGTCCCCACCCGAATGTTTATGGATGTGCACACCCACACATATAAACACAGGTATACACCATGCACACAATCCCCATATACAAAGATAGACAGAGAAAGACAGAGAGACAGAGGCACAGAGAGAGAAATAGGTCTAGAATCTGCCTCCTTGTCACTACCTATCATCTTCTCAGTCCAAGCCAGGTTTCTTTTATAAATATATTTTATTATTTTTATTATATATATATATGAGTATATTGACTGCATATGTGTAAGTGCACCCATGTCAGTCAATGCCCACAGAGGTCAGAAGAGGGTGTCAGATCCCCCTGAACTGGAGTTACGGATAGTTGTTAGCCACAATGTGGGTGCTGGGATTCAAACCTGGATCCTCTGCAAGAGAAGCCAGAGTTCTTAACCGCTGAGCCATATGTCCAACCCCCCCATGTGTTTCTTACACTGTATACAGATTGACACTTTCAGAATCTTATCCAGATGGTGTTCAAATCCTTCCACAGGCCTTTCCTCTCATTCAGAGTAAAACCCAGTGTCCTAATTCTGGCCTACCAACACTTTGGTATTTGCTTTCCATCTATCCTCCTCATCTCCTCCCTTTCCTTCTCCCCTGTGTTTCTCTGCTCTAGCCACATTGGCCTCCCCACTGAATGCTCAACACACTGAGGACACTTCCTCTCCAGGCCCTTCATGTCTGCTCTTCTCACTGCCTGCCAGGAGCATCTTTTTCCCCAGACCATAGCTACAGACTTGCTTCCTCACTTTGCCCAGGTCTCTGTTCAAATGTTACCTTATCACAGGGATCTTCACAGACTGGAAAATAACTAAATATTTATTACTATATGGCTAATATTCCCTCAGTGACCCTAATCCTTTACCCTACTTTTTTTTCTTTTGAAGCACTCAACGCCACTTGACAAAATATAACTCTATGAATACATTTATTGACTTGCCGCACTTACTAGAATATGAGCCCATGATAACAGGAATATGGTCTGTTTATTTCACTGTGACAGTCCTGATACCCCAACTAGTGTGTGATATTTGGCACTGAACTAACTAACTAACTAAGCTAAAACATGGAAAATCAACTTCTGGATCAAAGTTAGCTGTTTGCAAATTTTGTGTTTATTTTATGGAAATTAGGATTTCCCTTCAAATTAGTATTTCCTAGAACTAGAGAAGTAGAAGTCCCTTCTTCACCTGAATGTACTCCGTGTCTACCAGAGCCCTTCTGTGCAATGACATCTGAGTCTAACCCTTGATGCTGGGGCCAAGAGGAGGCAGGGAAGACGCCTGGAAGTTCTCAGAAATAAGCAGGTGGGAACCAGGTGTGGTAGACTATGCGTTCAAGTCCAACCTGGGTTACATAATGAGGTCCTCTCACAAACAAATAAATGAACAAAAAAATCCAACTAAAACAAATAAAACAAAAAGCCACACAGCAACCCTGACTAGCAGAAAGATGGCTAAGCTAAGTCCAGAAGCCTGGGTCTGCAAGAGGATATGAATTCTCTAGGACTGTCATAATAATGATAATGTATGATACGATTTAATAAAAATTTCTATATTACTGTCACTGAGCTGCTGGGAAGGCCATACTCCCTATGAAACCCATTGGAGAAGCCTCTTCCCTTGCATCAGCCCAGCTTCTGGAGGACTTTTGATATATTGGCTTTCCTTGAGTCATAGGTATATCTTCTCTCCAATCTCCCATCTTCATATGGCATTTTTCTCTGTGTCTGTCTTCACTTAACTATCTTCACACGGACTGTAGTGGCATTAGATTAGAGACCCCCCGCCCCGTATTCCAGTATGACCCCATCTAACTTAACTAAGCACATCTGTAGTGACCCTCCTTCCAAATAAGGCCACATTTTGAGATATGGGGTTGTGACTATGGTGTCCTTTTTTTCTCTGAGGCTACTGGAATGCCAAATGTGTGCTTTTTTGGACACCAACCAATTCTCTGTCACCAACCAATATTCAATTCTGAGAATATCCAGAATTAGGTTCCATCCTACAAGACCTCACTCAGTTCAGATGCTTAGCTACAAGTGTGGTAACCAAACCACCTACACTTCGCCAAAGAGCTCTTCTTTTAATCATAACTTTATTGGAAGGGGTACAACTCAAGAACAGCCATGAGGCAAGGTGTGAGGAATAGACGGGGGTAGTCCGGAGCTCCCATGCTTCTCTGTGCCCACCACCCTCCCAGAACCAAAGCACTGTCACTAACGCAGAAGCTCTCCAAATTCTGTTCATGAGTTTTGGTAACCTAATCTCCAGCCTCCTTCTCTTCCTAGCAATCAGAAGTTGGGCCAAAAGTTTCTCTCTTTGGTCTTTCTGGTGAGCAATGCTTAAAGTGAACTATTTTGGGGCTCCATCATGAGCCGCCTTCTTAGCATTAGCTCAGGCACAGTGCAAAACAGAGCTCTTTGTGAATAACAAAATATTACTCTTATTACTTGGGAAATTTCAAGGGTATTAGGGAGCTATGTGTCCTGCAGTCAACTGGGGAAGACAGTGATCAAGTACATTTTGTATAATACCACTGGTTCCAACATCGATCCTTTTCTGGAGAGGGACATAATTCAGCCTCTGACAGTAACCTGAGCAAGACGCTTGAACTTGCTTGGCCTGTTTTTGTTTGCTTGCTTGCTTGCTTGTTTAAAACCCTTGTGTCAATATGAAGAGATCTAATAAGTGAAAATTGGTTGGGTCTGAATAAAAATTTGTGCATAACTCAGATTTTATTTTAGCCAAACTAAACCTTTTATCTGGTTTTTACTGAACAGTACCTAAGTGGCAAGGTTCTGGGAATCAAGGGGTACAAAAAGACAGAACCAGAACTGGGGATGTTGGTGGTAGAGAACTTGCCTATCATGTACAAGGTCCTGGGATCAGTCTCAGTATGGAGGGCAAGGGAGGAGAACTGTGTGGTTCAGGGAGACAACTCAGTGGGTAAAAGCATTTGCCACACAAGCCTGATGACCTGAGTTCACTTCCTGGAACCCATGTAAAAAGGCAAAAGCAATGGCATACATCTGTAATCCTAGCAGAGATTGGAGTCTGAGACACAGGCCAGAAACTTGCACACACAGCACAGGGCAGAAACAAGAGCAAGACCCTGTTTCAAAACAATGTGGAAAGAGAAAACCAAATCCTGAAACATGTCCTCTAACCCTAACACATGCACCATGATATTCCCTCCCACCCCCCTCAATAAATAAATGAATAAAACTTTAAAGAAAAAAGAGCCAGGTTTACCCTTGAACTCACAGTCTAGCAGTGAAAAAAGCCATGACACATGACTCTTAAAAAATAATGATGGGGGGCTAGAGAGATGGCTCAGTGGTTAAGAGCACTGACTGCTCTTGCAGAGGACCCAGGTTTGATTCCCAGCACCCACATGGCAGCTGCGAACCATCCTTAACTCCAGTTCCAGGGGAATCTGAAGCCCTCTTCTGACCTCCGCAGCATTGTACAACATAGGTGCACTCAACATACCTGTAAGGCGATACACTTATACACATAAAATAAAAAAAAATAAAATATAAAAAAATGATGGGGGTGGGGAGCTGGTGAGATGGCTCAGCAGTTAAGAGCACTGACTGCTCTTACAGGAGACCTGGGTTCGATTCCCACCACCCACACCACCCACAATGGCAGCTAACAACCATCCATACAGTTCTAGGGGATCTGACTCCTTCTTCTGACCTTCACGGGCTTTGTATGACACAGGTGCACTTACATACATACAGGAAAACCCTCACATAATAAAAATAAATAAATGAATAAATAAAATAAAAATTAAAAACGTTTTTAAAAAGCAATGACAGTGTTTTTATTAAAATCAACACTTTTCAGGTAGCAAACTTTTCAAAGAGAACTGGACCAGAAATTTGGCATTTTTTTTTTCCTTGAAATACAGTTGGGAGCCAGGTGTGGTGGCGCACACCTTTAATCCCAGCCCTTGGGAGGCAGAGGCAACAG